CTAACTTTAAAAAAATATAGCTGCAAAATTTTTATAAAAAACTATATTAATAGTATAGCTACAAATAAATTTAATTTATAAAATTAAATTATTCTATTAGTACTAGAATTTTAATATATAGCTAGTTTATTTAATATTTATAATTTACTTAGCTTTATAATCTTTTAAAAAAATCTAGAAATTAATTGTAAATATCTAGTATACACTAGCTGAATTACTAGCATGTAAAACTAGTAGCAGAAGATTTACTCTAGAAATCTAAAGTTTGGAAGTCCAGAGTCTAGCAATACCAATAAAGAAATATACTAGGTATTTTGAAAAATTAAAATTTCAGATTAGAGAAAAAAATATATACTAAAAAATTATATACTAATACAAGATAGGCTAAAGATATCTAGCACTGAGCTAGAGTCAAATCTTTCAAATTGTTAATTAGGATATTCTATAGAATAGATGGGCAAACTCCAAAACTCTATAACTCCACCAAATATCTACTAATGATTATTAATCATTAGCAGAGTTTATTTTTTATATTGCCCACCTATTCTATAGAACATCTATTAATTAAAAGTAATAAATAAATTAATAAGAAAATTATAGAAAAAAAGTTTAAATATGTATACTAAGATAAGAAGTAGATTTTATAAAGATAAGGTAAAAACTATACAAAACTAAACTAGCTAGAATAGAAATTTAATAGGCTCTAGTAGGTTTACTCAAAAATAGCTATAGTATCTGCTTAACAAAAAAATATATACTAGTAATTAGTTAATACAAATCTAAGATTAGTTATAAGACAAAATATATAATTTAGTTTATAATAGTTTCTAAACTAGTTTGTAATTATTATAAAATAGATAAGATTAGAAGATTTAATAAATAATTCTAGATTGGGCTACAAATATAGGTATTTGGTGTAAATAGTATCAAAAATGTAATAACTAGTTATATTTTTGTTATAACTTTATTAACAAAATTAAATATTTTTTAACTAAAATTATTAAAAATATTTGAATTATTTTAATACAATTTATCTTTATATTTTAGCAAATTGCTTTAATTTTTTTTAATTAATAAAATTTGTATAGTTAAACTATAAAGTTTTCTAATATTATTAAAATTTAATTTAGTATCTAACAAAATATTATGTTTAAAAATAATTCTTCTAACACTTTTTTATTTCTAAATTAAATTTATTACTATTAAATTGTAGTAGAGTTAAAGTTATATTTTATAAAAGAAATTTATTAATACTTTTTTAATATTATTTTTAAACCCATTATATAAAAAAAAAATTATTGATTTATATAGTATTTATATATAAATATTATTTATTGAATACAAATTTTTTGTTTCTACAGAGTAATTTGAAGAGAAAGATGTAAAAAGTTCACAGTTTGGAAAAAAAATAATAGTATAAGCAGAGCAATTAAAAGAGAGAAAAGATTCAGAGATACGATAAATATTTCAAAAAAAAACCTATGTGCAAAAGACCCAGTACAAAATGTTTATTAGCAGTAGATCTACTTATAAAAACCAACTAACAGAAAGCAGTCTAAGTAAAAAAAAGAAGTACTCAAAAGAAATAAGTATAGAAGAGAAAAAAGGAAAGAGGAAATTATGTTTAGTAAATTTTAAAGAAAAATTAGTAGAGATTTATAATTTAGCAAAAGAAACAATTTGGTTACAAATGTCAAACTCTTTCCACCTAGCTAGTAGTCAAAGTAAAAATTAAAGTAGAGTAGAACTTTGTGTTTCTTAAAAAATTTTTTAGGTAGCTTAGTACTATGCTATATTAGGCTTTTAAATATGAATAGCACCATATGTGAAGCTAGTTGGCAAACATCAGTGTGATAACATATTTGAGCACTTATAAGCAGCTGGGTATTGGCCTAATATATAGATTAAATAGTTAAATTTGTAAATTATAAAGCTTCTAATAAATTAGTGCAAGGTTATCAAAGTAAAAAAAATAAAAAATAAAAAAATGCAAATTTTCTATAATATGTTAATTAAAATAATTTTTATAAACAAAAAATTATATCTTGCTTATAGTTAGAATAAAAGTAGATTTGTAATTGAGTAAGAGTTAGTTTATACTAAAATTTTTAAAAAATTTTATTTGTTAAAAACTAAAATAATTTTATAATCAAAATTTTTATTTATCTATATACAAATAGAAATTCTTTATATAAAATATTTAAAAAAATTAAACTATTATTTTGTAAAAAGTATTTATTACTGCTTTACTATTCTTAAACTTAAGCTAGTTAAAGTAAAGATCTAAAGTAGTTAATATATTATTTTTGCAAAAAGTATTTGCTAATATTATTTATTAATTGAAGCCAAATTAATTAGATAAAAAATTCAAATAAATTAAACTATTGTTTTAAAAGTATCTATTATTGCTTTGATTTAAAAAGTTAGAGTATTGTTTTTGCAAAGAGTATTTGCTAGTATTTTATTAATATTTATTATTAGAAAAAAATAAAGTAGTTAATATATTGTTTTTGCAAAAAGTGTTTGCTAATGCATTTATTTTTCAACAATACAAAATTATTATTTAAAGAATCTAAAAAGTTAAAGTGTTGAATTTATAAAAAGAATTTGCTAATACTTCATTGCTTTTAAACTCAAACTAGTTAATGTAAAAATTTAAAATAGTTAATATATTGTTTTTGCAAAGAGTATTTGCTAATATATTTTTTTTATTATGATTAAATAAAAAATTTAAATAAATTAAACTATTATTTTTGAAAAAAGTATGGAGGGTGGGGGGTTAAGCAAAACCTTACCTCATATAAAACAATTATAGCCAATCAAATTTAGCTAAATATCTTACTTGGGGGTGGGGGTAAGCCTCTTTAGTAAATGGATATTAGGTAATAAATGTCAGCACCCTTATTGTTTTTTTTAATTAAATCCAAAATTGTTATTTTAAAAACTTATATTTTTATAAAATTATTAAAATTAAAAAATCTTTAATAGCTATTATAAAACTAGATAGCTGCACAATATCATCATGCAAAACCAGAAATGGAGAATTTATATAGAGGACAAAATCAAGATATTTGATACTATAAATTTGCACATGATTATGTATAGTATATAATTTTGTTTTAATTTAAAATAAAATATAATAGGTTGTATAATTGTTGTAACTAATTTGAATTAGCTAATATTTAAAAATTAGCTTAGCTAACTAAACCAAAGTTAATGTATATCAATTCTGAATATTCTGAATACAGCTAGATCTCTCTAAGCACATGCTCTTGAGACTATATATATATAGAGAATAATAAGAAAAAGTGTATTTATGAAGGTCAAATATATATTTAAACTAGCACTTGAGCATGTATTTAGAGAGAATATATACTTATAGGGAGTGTACTTAAAGAGGTCTGATTATATAAATTTTTTAGTATTTATATTTAGTTATTAAAGTATGCAAATTGTCAAACATATTGGTAGATTTGTGAAATTTGGTAAATAGAAAAACCAATAAGCTGTAAGTCTGATTAAATTTGAAATCAAATAATTTTAAACTTGGCTAAATAGGTTTTTTATTTATCAAATTTTACAAATCTACAATATAAATTTTTTATATGATATATATATACAGTACTGAAAAAGAATATTAAAAGAAAAATATATTATTTATTTTATAGTTAATATAAATTATTGTAAGTAGTAAACTACTAACAAGATGTATTAAACTATATTAAGTTTTGTTTATCAAAATTTAGAGCAGAATTTAATGTAGATAGTTCAATTTCAAATTAGTATAGTTTTTTATAGTTATTACTATAAATTCTCAAAATAGTAGACAAGGGTGTTATTTCAAAATCATGCCCTAAAAATAGCATACATGGTTTTGAAATAACACCTATACACATTCTAAATAGTGCACACCTTGAAGGGAAAGTATCAGGTAAATATCAAAATTAAAACTTCTCAATATATACACTAATATTAATATGTTAGTAGCATATCAAAAGTCTTGTATCTAATGTTTACTTGATATTTATTCATTCAACCTTTTTATAATATTAGTAAACAGAATTAATACTTATCTGAAATAATGCTCTGAACATATTTAAAATAATATATATGTAGTTAAAATAGTGTATAAATGCCTGCTATTTCAAGAATTTATGATATATAATATCAACTATATACTTCTTTATAATACAAACTAACTCAACTACATACTGTATATACTATAGTATTTTATAAAATTTAATACAAAATATTTATAGAAATTTAATAACTATAATTTCAAATACAAGCTATATAAACCTTAGTCACATATTATTTATTATTGTAATAACCAAGTTTTGCAGCAAAATATTTTATAGCAAATAGCTATCACAGGTCGAAAGATAAAAAATCAGGCACAAATCAGGTATCTGATTTGTGCCTGATTTTTTATCTTTCGACCTGTGTATTATTAATATATTTCTATTATTATAAGTTAAAAATTTTTTATATAGAAATTATGATAAAATTACTACTCAGGTGGTCAGCCCATAGGTAGGTATACAGGTTATCATTTACAGGCAATTTTTTGTTTAATTGGCTGATGTAAATCAATTGCCCAGGTAATCTATTTATACACTTTAAAGTACTTTTTGGAAACATAACATTTCACTAACAAAAAAATTCTATAAAAGCAAATTCTAGCTCTAAATGAATATTTGTTAGGTGGGAGTAATGGTACTAATTTTGTACAAAGTGTTCATTATATTTTTTTAAACTATTCATTAAATGTTGAAATAACTAAAAAAAAGCTTTTATATTCTGAGCTGCTAAAAAAAGATAAGATAAAAAAAAATATTTTATCTTTTAGTTTATTTGATGCACTAACTGATTCTATATTTTTAAAACAGTTTCTTGTCTTCTCAGTATCCTCTTTATGAACTTTTTAAATTTTCTCTTTTATATGACTTCGTAAATATAGAATTTAGTCAATTATAGTTTATCAACAGCAATTAGAAGGAATGTTCAATAAGTATGACATTAAAGCTCACCTCAATATATCTGATAAAGTACAAGAAGCAAGGCTTCTGCTTTCAAGTTCAAGTAAACCAGAGGTAAGTTTTGATTGTGAGATTTAAAGACAGTTTGGAAAAGGCAACAGAGCAATGTTGTCAAAAATACCAAAGAAGAGCTTGGTGAAATGGCTACTAAAGCTATTTTAAAAAATTTGGTAAATAAATGCATTTTTAAAAAAAATAAATGTGTTTTTAAAAATAAATGCGTTTAAAAAAATAATAATAATTTTTTTTATCCAAGAATGTATCTGATTTTCCAGTAAAAAAATTCTAACAATTAGATTGATATATATCGCATTATCATAGTAGATCATTTAACATTCTAATAAACGGTATTACGGTGTACCATAGGTACACAAAGTGACATGTTTTGTGATTTAGTGGTTTAGTGTTCTAGTGTTTTAGTGTTTTAGCATTCTAGTGTTGTAATTTGATAGATCTACATAGCATATAAGTTACTTTCTTGATGTGCATATATAAAAATAACTATAAAAGTATCAAAAAAGTAGCTTTAACATATTTTCTAATATAGTAATAAACCCGATTTGTGTTTGTGTTTTAGTGTTCTAGTGTTCTAGTGTTCTAGTATTCTAGTGTTTTAGTGTTTTAGTGTTCTAGTGTTCTAGTGTTTTAGTGTTTTAGTTAGGGATATTAAAATGCTTATATAAACTCTGTTCAAGCAGATTCCAAGCACAAACTTTTACAGTTTGCTTATAAATTTTATAAGCACTGCTTAAAAGCAAATATGCTTATAATGCTTCAAACCTGCTTAAAGCAATTATGCTTCAAATTTGCTCAAAAGCAAATATATTTAAATTAACTTAATTAAATTTGTTTAAAGCAAATATACTTCAAATAAATTTTAAGGATACATATTTATTGGCTTTATCTTTTATTAATTTAACAATTAAAAATTTTGTTGCAATAGCTATACAAAGTTAATTATTGGTTCTTATAACACAACTAGATCAAATTTTTAAAAATTTTTATCAATCTTGTTAATACATAATTCTAAATATAATCTAAATATCAAATGCCAAATTAAAATTAAAATGACTATAATACTATTAATATTTAACCTTTTACTAACTTAGTTTTTATTTTAACTTTAATAAAACTTAAAACTATTATTTCAAAATAATATTTTATATACAAACTCTTTCCGACAATTACTGTACCCAAATCTGGAGCTAAAGAAACTCTACAAAAAAGTCACTATGGTACTAAATCACCAACTAAAGTAGCCTTAAGGAAAAAGATAAAGCAAGAAAAATCAACTATAGTTACTTAGAATAGTTTTGCTCTTTAACAACCAGGGCTCATAATATTTAGAAAATTTTTTAGAATTTTGGGGAATTTGTGTTTTCCCTGTTCTGCAGATTAATCAATACCAAAAAAACATACGTGTACAAATTAGGAAAACAACAAACCAAACTAATACTGTGAGAAAATCAAGCAACAAAACAAACATTCTTGTTAATAAACAAAACAAACAACTACACATCTATCATCATGTGTTTACTTATAACAAAATAAATATTTATTCTAAAAACTTCAGGAAGAAAATCATACAACATACTTTCAACACAAGTATAACATATAAATTAGTGATCACATGGATTTATTGCTAATTAAAGATTTTGTCCTGGAAACAGAAATAAGCGTCAAAAAGTTTATACAGAGCAAAGGAAATTCACATTAAATATAGATCGACATGTAGCGAAGTATCTTGGGTATCAAAACCCAGAATTTATAACAACAATTCATAGTACATTAGAAACATATAAATGGGCTCTATGTAAATTTGATCAAGATAAAAAATTATCGCTTGAAGAACAGGTGCTAACTGGAAAGTAGTTGAGGTTACAACAAGTATAAAGAAAGAATGTCTCAAGCTGAGTAAGCAAAAAAGACTAGAAATATTATGTACCTCAACAAAAATGGAGCTTGATATGCAAGAGAAAGAAACAAGTATCTGAGAAGAAAACTTAAAGAGGAAACGTGAATGTACAGATGATGAGCAAGATTCTATCTTTAAGAAAAAAGAAGAAGCAGTATTAACAAGGCTAGTGGAAATGAACTTGAATAAAAGTGAAATTAAAATACTAAAGAATGATAATTCTGAAGGTGCAGAAACTAAAGCAACATTAGTATATACTGAATTTGGACAAGAGAATCATGCAACACAAGAGGTTAAAGAATAAATAGGCATGGTTAAGAAAAAAGAAAAATTAAATGAGAAAAAGAACAAAGTTGAAAATAGTCCTACATTAAACAGAAGTGAAGATATTTTCAAGTCCAGATGGGCACCTAGTAATAATACAAAGCATAAGAATGTATCAAGAGAAGATTTGGTAGATTCCAAAGAAAAAGTAAATGACAAAGAGTTGACTTTAACTATTTGGGATTTACCTATATCAGCAAAATTAGAAAATATAAG